GGTTAACAAATCTAGTTCTTCCCCGAACAAGCCCCTTGCTAGCAGTAGCCAGACGCCTGCCGCGTCGAGTTCGGTTGAGTTTTTTGATCCATATAATTTGATGCAAGATTTTAATAGGGACTTCCTTAGCTCACGGACTGCGCTCAGCCAGTTTTGTAGGAAGAGCCTTGTTTTGCAATCCGTCTCCAATGTGCAGTCCTCTGCAAAGAGGACGTTGTGGCCTGTCCCTCTGCCCAGGTGGAGTTGGACGGCGTGCAAACACCTTGGACCCAGGAGACGCAAGCGGAAGCGTCAGCTGCAAACACGACACAGAGCTGTGCAGTTGGTGATAGCTTGTTTGAACTGGGAGACCTTGGGCCATGTGAGTGAGCCGCCGCCTGAGGCTTGCTTAGGACACCCCATTTCCAATGTTCAACATTTGATTATTGAACATATTGAAAGCTTAGTGGAGCATCATCTGTCTGCCGATGCCTTCACTGGGGATGATTTGGGTCGTTTCCAAGAAAAGTACCAAGGTGTAATTAAGCTTTTGCAGGAACTACCGTCATGTCGATTGGCGGGTGAGGACCTCGAGCAGAGTTTAATACAACTGCATGCCGAACTGGACCCCTATTCCAGCCATTTTGGTAAAAGAGGTCCTTACAAAGAAAATGAGTCGCCCAAATCAGACCACCAATGTCCTGTCGACCGCTCGGAGCCGTTACCTATGTCAGGGGCTCGACCTGTCGTTTCATCAAGGATCAAGTGGCAGTTCCCACCAAGTTTCGAAGCTAGTGCTTTTTTGGATGATCCAGTTGTAAAAGCTGCTTTTAATGATCCGGAAGTCATGCGTAAGCCTGAGCAGTTTTGGGAATCCTCTAGGCCTGCAAAGATAAACTGTTCTAGGTCTGAGCTGCTGGATCTTGCACAGAGATGGGACGACTTTGGAGCGTTGAGACTTATGCCTGCAGACCAAAAGCAGTGGGACGAAGCTGTAGGGATGTTTGCTGTAGGTAAGGATTCGCAATTCGATCGCCTCATTATTAACCCTCAGAACCTCAATGGTAGAATGTGGACTGTTAGCGAGTCAACCAAGACCCTCGCCCCTGGTTGTATGCTAGGCCTCTTACATTTGGAACCTTGGGAAGCTTTTCGGTTTTCCGCTGATGATCTTTCGGACTTCTACTACACCTTTCGGGTGAGTGAAAATAGGGCTAGGAGAAACGCCTTTCGCATGAAGTTTGAACCTCATGAACTTGAGCACCTGAAATGCTTCAAGGAGGAGCATGCCAAGCACTCTCATTTGTTGCTTTGTCTTTCAACTCTTGCTATGGGTGACAACCTTGCAGTTGAAATTGCGCAACAAGCGCATGGCAATGTCCTTAAGTTCTTGTGTGGTTCCATGAAAGATGAGGAAACCCTTAAGTATAGGCACCCGGTCCCTAGAGGTAGTTTTATCGAGCTCTTGGCTATTGATGATCATGTTGGCCTTCAGAGATTACCGATAAAAGACATCCCAGAGGAGCCTCCACTTCGAGACACCGAGATTTTCCAGTTAGCTTCAAAGGCTTATAGATCCGTTGGTCTTGTGCAGCAGAGTAAGAAACAAAAACGAAACTGCACTCAAGGGATCATTCTAGGAGCTGACTTTGATGGGTTAAAGGGTCGAGTGATGGCACCCCGAAGCCGCGTGCTGTTGTTGTCTGCCATTTCACTTGCCATAGTTTCCAAACGCACTTGTACACGAAGGCTGTTAAATTTGGTGGTTGGGTGCTGGATTCATGTTCTCCTTTTCAGACGTGTTCTGTTTTCAATCATAGACTCGCTTTTCACTGATGGTATGGAGAAGAAGCTTGACCAGGTGTTTTGTTTGAAAAGACAGTCTCTGAATGAGCTTCAAGTTCTGGCCGTATTGGGCCCTACAGCTCAGTGTGATTTGAGAGTTGGATACTGCAGTGATATCTTTTGCATGGACGCAAGTCCTACTGGAGGGGCTGTTGTTCGCGCCGAAGTTGGGGCTGCAGTGACTCAAGAAGTATGGCGTCACACAGAGCAGAAAGGTTTCCACACACGTTTGCAGAGTCCTGTGTCCCAAATCCTTTCAGAGCATGGTATCGAGCCCGATTCCATGCACATGTTTCAAGATCATTTGAAGAGTAATGGACCCCAAGTGGAAGTTCCCCTCAGCCTCAGAGAAGGTTTCGTTTTCGATTGTATTGAGCTTTTTCGGGGAGCCGGAAATTGGTCTCTCGCTCATGAGCGCAATGGATTGCGCGTGCATGATGGGATTGATGTTGATGGGCGCTGTCTTAGGGTCAGCAACATCACCTGCGATGCGGTCTTCAGAGAGCGAGACTGGCACGCTGGGGTGCCTTGCCCGTCTTTCGGCACTTTGAGACGGCCCCGAGTAAGGTCTAAGGAAATCCCGTTCGGCTTTGATCCCTCAGACCCCTACACAGCCTATCACAATAAGATAGCTCAGCGGGTGGGCATATTACTGATTTTGGCACTGAAGTATGGTTCCTTTGTCAGTATTGAGCAGCCTCGAAACAGCTGCTTGTTTTTGCTGAACGTGTTTCAAACCTTGATTCGTTTGGGCTGCGTAATCACTCATTTCGCATTTTGCTGTTTTGGTAGTGGATTTCACAAGCCTTCCAAGTGGCTTCACAACAAGCCATGGCTAGTGCCATTGCAGAGCTCCTGTTCGTGTCCCTATAAAGGAAATCACTTTGTAGTCGAAGGTACTTTCACAGAGGCGAGCATCAAGGATTTCAACGAAAGGTGTAGACCAGGTATTGAATCTGTGTATGAAACCATGCCGCAACCCGGAGAACGGGTTTCTGACTTCTCAGCTATCTATCCTGTCAGGCTGGCGCAAGCGATGGCAGTGGGCAGCAAAGAAGCAGCTCGATCGGGCGTTTCCCCTGTGCCGGCTAGAGCCGTGGCATCCTCTGCACTTGAAGTCGGCCTTACGCTAGATGAGATTTCAGCTGTGCCTTTGCCTGAGCCTCCATACCCGTCGCGTCCCTGGTACGAGGACCCTGAATGGATAGGCGAAATATGTGAGTCTTTGCCATTTCGTGAGGTTTTTAGATTCAATTTTGTGAAACCCGGCCATATCAATGTAAACGAGACACGCACTTATAAGTCCTGGATTAAACACATGGCCAAATCTTCGAGAGATTCCCGATTTGTTGGATTGCTTGATTCCAGAGTGACTTTGGGGGCCAGTGCCAAGGGCCGCTCTAGTTCATTTTCAATTAGCAGGGTTCTGCAAGGTAGCATTGCGTATATCATTGGAGGTAATCTGTACCCGGGTGGTTTGCATTGCTATTCAGCTTCCAACAAAGCTGACGGCCCCTCCAGAGGCCGCCCTTTGGCCCCCCCGACGAAGGACAAGCCGGCCTGGCTTGCTCAACTGGCAGATGGAGACACTAGAGCGTTCGACATAGTAGTGAATTCTTCCAGAGTGGCCCGTGTTCCAGGAAGGTGGATCCGTTTTATTTTGTTAATCCTAGCGGGTGACATAGAATTGAATCCAGGGCCTTCGGGTCCACGCGCAAAGCCACGAGTTTTGCATCCTCGAGGGGCTTTGGATTTGACAGTGGGTTTTGCTCCTGAGACAGCCTCTCGCATGCGGCAGTGCGTGCAAGCTTTTGCTGAATGGGTGAAAGATACTTGCGGATTAGATTTCGATAGACTAGTGCAAGACCCTTTGGCTGTTGGATGGGCTCTGAGGGCCTACGGTGTGCAACTCTTTGAAAGGGGCTTACCTAGGTACCTATTCGTTTATGCAATTACAGGGGTGGCCGAGCAATTTCCTCAGTGCAAATCGTCTTTGACCTTAGCCTGGCAAATCGACCGAAAGTGGCAGATCCATGAACCAGGTCAGTGCAGGGCTGTCCTTCCAGGGATAGCTATTCGAGCTGCAGTCACAGTTGCAACATTTTGGGGCTGGCATGTTTGGGTGGGCATCGTACTGCTGGGTTTTGCAGCAATGCTTCATCCGAGCGAGATGATCGCCCTCACAAGAAAAGATCTTGTTTTTCCCAAAGATGTTTGCTTTGATATGACCTGCCTCTATATTCATCTGCAGAATCCAAAGACAGCTAGATTTGCTAGACGTCAGCACGGCCGAATAGATGATGCTCAGATTATCCATTTGGCAGAGCAGATCTTTGGCGACTTCCCTTTGCACTGCCGATTGTACAATGGTTCCATCAGCCTTTTCAGAAAACAGTGGGACGCCGTCATGGCCCACCTAGGTATACCCCACCGACAAGCTCAGCGCGGAGCAACTCCGGGCTCGCTGCGCGGCAGCGGGGCGACTTTTCTCTATGGCCGCACCGAAGATGTTCCTTGGATTGCATGGAGGGGCCGATGGGCTCGAGTGAAAACCCTCGAGTTTTATCTTCAAGAGGTTAGCGCCCAGCTTCTTTTGCACGAGCTGCCTAAGAGAAACCGCGTGCTAGTGCACACACTTGGTGATGCTGCGTGGCCGATCCTATGCGAGCGCTGGCATCTAACCGAGCGCTACCCTGAATTTTACGGAGCTTGCAGCGCAGAAACTGAGAAGCGGAAGTGAGAAGCTGGCCTGTTTAGAGTGGTGACATCACCTGTGCA